AGCTGCCTCAATTAATTGATACAATCAATGCATTTAAAACCCAATTTTTATAATACATTCACGATCTGTATTATTATATATTGGAACATCTTATATCCCAGTGCTATAAAGGCTGAAGTTCACCATCAAATCAAAATTGTTTCGTTTCATACATTGATAATCTGATGTAAATTCCAACAGATCTGGATACAATAGTAGTGAGAAATGAGATTGATATATTGCTAGAGAGTCTGTTTTGTCTCTCATTGAGGGATCTTCTTTTGACAGCTTATGTCAAATTCAAGGCTGTTGCAAGGTGACATGTTGATCAGAGGAAAACCTTTTTAATATGTGATTTTATATAGGCATAAGAAAGGCAGGAGCTGCTGTGTTTATAACTGACACATTTGGCTAATTTGTTTAAGAAATCTGCCCACTTCATACCTTCTCCAGGGTTTAAAAACCAAGAACAATTCAGTTTCCTACTTTTGAACCAATCTGGAAATAATATCAGTGGACTGTATTATATATATAAAACTTGAATTGATATTTTTGTTAGGCCAATTTAAGATATATAAATTGGTATGAAAGCTTTTGAATTTTTAATTAAACAAGATAATTAAAATGTCCAGGAAAAAATTAGCATTGCACACTTATTTTATAAAACTGTGTTGACCTAATAAAGAATTGCCTGAATATGGATATTTGTTGTTCGGCTAGTTTTTCTCATGGCCAGTGCAACTACTTTCACTAGTCCACTTTTTAAATCAGTGAACATTAACAATAAGGTGATGGCAAGAATAGGAAATAAATTCAGGATCTACTCTAGATATTTTGCTCCCCTGAGTAGTTTGGCTCATTTTTCATTTTTGTAAGGTTTTTAAAAGGCATCCTCTTGGATTTTTTTCTTCTTTGAGTTTTCCATTTATGATTTTCAGCCTCAGACATTATTTTTCTGGGATACTTTCATTTTTATTTCATGTTTATGCTGTGAAATTATATTTAATCCTCAAGTGGCATGCCAGATCAGGAAGGATTTCATTACTACTTTGTGCTTTTCTGTTGTGCTTTTTTGGGAGTCTTTTTGATTTTTGCATCTCTTAAAATTTGGTGCCCCTAAACTAGTGTCTTATCAGCCTTAGCTTAGGAGTCAGCTATGAATATATGTTGCTGTCAAAAATTTAAAAGTGGCACATGGCTAGGAATTAGAGCAAAGTATCAGATGCCCAGATATTAGTAGAGTCTAATTTGAAAATGTTTCTCTGCCTGCTGGGAACATAAGATCTCAGATACTTGGGGTGTGTGCCTTCAAAGAACATTGCAATTTTCTATTTTCATTACATACACTTACTGAGCTAACCAAATAATAGTAGTAGTGACAAGCTGTATTGAATTATTAGAAGAACCTATGACAAGATTGGGATGAAATGGCAGCCAGCAGAAGTAATGTCTAAGAAGCATGGCAGCATAATTAACAGTGAAGATTGAAAAAGTGCCTTGAGATATTTGTAAAAATAATAAAGATTGGTTCCAAATAAATAACAATTTGGAGGGCAACAGGTTTTTCATCCTGGAACTACATAGTGACCATTCAATTAGATGGAGTTAAAGGGAAATTATGCAGATTTGTGGGAATATGGGTCTTTCAGCAGTAATTTACCATAATAGGTTCAGAGAATCTGTACAACCATGGGCAGTAACCTTCCTAATATGTTACAGAAGTTAATCAGTGCATTGTGCATTTCCTTGAGACCAGATCACATTACTTTCTCAGAGGATAGGATTGAAGTCTAAAGTATTTTCTGGTGTAATGTAGAATTATTTATTTTTATTCCTTCCTGGTACAGGGGCTATCTGGGCTGGCCTAGGCAGAGCTTAAAGAGCCCATTCTCACAATCTCCAAAGCTCCATAAGGTCTAGACTCTATACTTTTTGTAAAAGTTGAAATAACTGAGTGTATTATTGCTGAGTTGCAAGAAGTTTTTCCAGAAATTATGTCTTTTTATGAGATTCATAAAAGCAAGCACTTGACCCTTGTAAAAAGTGAGAAGCTGGACTCAACAGATATTTGTAATGAACCAACAAAGCTAAGGATTTTTTTATATACATAAAAAGGCACTCAGACCTCTTGTTGACACATTGTACATCACTGATATTAATAAAAATACATTGTGGCTGGGTACAATACGGTTAATAATTAAAATATAGAAAATACCCATTAAAATGCCTACAGCGGAAGTTAACTTTGGTTTCAATCATACCTCCCTTCTATGATTGTATATTGTACAACCTGTTACTTATATCATGAACTCAGTCAATGTGAAAAGTTAATGGTGCTATCATATGAGTTTTCCTTTGCTACCATACTAGTAGTATCTACTAAAGCAAAGCAGTGATTGATAAACCTAGATATGTTCTGGAGCAGGTTGTGAGAAGTGATCAGGAGAAGAGACATCCACTTTATCTAGTTCTGCCCAGATGTAAATTTGAACTATCATTTTCCATAACAGAATATCCAGGACATTGCAGTGCAACCAAACATTATGTCTTCCATAACTCTTAAGACATCTGATATTTATGGAAATAATTAATTTCCTCAGTAGATATGAACTAAACCAAAAGTTTTAGTGTTATCAAATGCATTTTCCTTGACAAAATAGTTGCCCTGCCTGAAATCTAAGTTTTTGGTGACATAGAAAGTAACATGATTGGGAGATTCTCTTGGACTAGAAATTACAACTCATTTGCCCTTCTGTGGAATGGCTTTTCTATTCAATGGCATTTTCTCTGCTTTGTATTATCTTTGTGAACTGGAAAAGAAATGCTGGTTGTATATGCTATGAGTAACATCAATTAATCCCATCTTGAGTGAGTCAATGCCTTAGATAAATTAGATTGTTTATGAAGGAGATGAATTGAGTGAGAAGGGAAATATGCCGCAGGCTGCATATTTTGGTATTTATTGAACAAAGGACACAAAGTATGTATTGTATGCGTATGCAGTGGTTAGTCACATATTCGTACATGAGTTTTACTGGACACTTATAAAATCTGTTCAGCTAAATGTAATCATTTCCATCTGGCTATATCCTAACTAATACTTTCCCACCCCCACGTTGTAATTACTTATCTGGATTGGCATTTAGAATTCTTGTAACTTCAGTATTCTGAAGTTTATAGTTGTTGGGGCATTCCTATCTTTTTCATACGGCTGAAAGACATCCAGAGACTCAATTTGTAGACTGCCTTGCAAGTAAGTTGATCACTGCCAGGCAAGATTGGGAAAATGAAAATAGGACTCACAAAATAGGACTCACTCACAAAGGAACAGAATTATTGAGCAGCATTATTTCTTGGCTGTAGAGCAGGGTTGTCCAACCTTGGCAACTTTAAGACTTGTGGACTTCAACTTCCAGAATTCCTCAGCCAGCAAAGCTGGCTGAGGAATTCTGGGAGTTGAAGTCCACAAGTCTTAAAGTTGCCAAGGTTGGACACCCCTGCTATAGAGAATGCAACTCACAGGCAGGGCAGTGTCTGGTTTTAAAGATAGGTTCTAGCTCAACTTCTACTTGATGCTCTCCAACTATGTTGTAAAATTACCATCTTACAAAGGGCACCAGGTGGAGCATACTATATTGACTCAAAGTCAAGTCATTGAACTGTCTACCTTTCAGTCACCAATTGAGTGGCCTTCATCTCAGTAATTGAGTGATCGCCACCTAACTTTCTGAAGCTCTTTTTTTTGTTGGGGGGGGGGTGTTCCTGGAAGTGCAGGTACACTTCACTTATGATGACAATTGGAACCGGAATAAAGTGTGACTACATTGCTTAGTGGTGACAATCTCTGAAGTCCAAATTGCTGTCATTAAGTGATTGATAGGTAAGACCATTTCCTGTCATCTCCTCACAACTAAAGTCAGTAGGGAAACTGGCAGGAAGTTGCAAATCCCAGGCCCACAGGCAGGTAAGTGGCGGGTAACCGGCTCATGGTTGACTTAGCCTTCTGTCTTTCCAAGGTTGGTAAAATGAGGACTCAAGATTGTTGGGGGCAATATGTTGACCGCTGTAAACAGCTTAGAGAAGGTTGCAAACCACTGTGAAGCAGTGTACAAGTCTAAGTGCTATTGCTATTCGGTTGCAGGGGGAAAACAACGGGCATGGGAGGATGCGGCAGAAGTGCAGAGTGGGTAGGGTATGCAAGAGTGCAAGGGGTGTGTTAGGCACGGTGCTGATCCGGGAGGGTGTGTGAAGTGCGAATCATGTTTGCAAGAATCACAGCATGTACCAGGGAGGGTGTGCAAGTGGCTCGCACAGTGTGAGTACTAGTGGGACTGAGGGTGGGATGCCAGGTGGGGGAGCATTACTTCAGCAATTTGTGACCCCCCCACCCCCCGCCAGCTTCCCTAATAAGCTTCTAAGGAAGCTGGTCGGGAAGGTTGCAAAGGGTAATCACATGGTCACTGAGTGCTTTGCAACTGGTTGTAAGTGTGTATGGGTTGCCAAGCAGACCGCAGGGGTGCTGAGACCCCATTTCGTTCAGTGCCATTGTATCTTGGAGTGGTTCCTGACCAATCGGTCATAAGTTAAGGGCTGGCTGTATGTTAAACTGAGCCGTGTAATAAATGCATGAAAAAAGCATTAGTAGAATATGGTAGTAGTCTATCTCCATCATAGCAGTAAAATCAACGTGATAAGAAAACCTGATATCAAGGCCAATCCCTTAACTTCAGAGATATGCTAATGTGATGATGAGTTCAGGGCAGGGAAACTAGTTTCCATCAGAAGAGAATTTTAATTTATCTTTATTTATATTGATAATTATATAGATTTGACTGGGCAGATCTTTTTCCTCTGTCATACACATTTTTTGGTATCATAGTTTTTTTTAATAAAATAACCAGGTAAAATAGCAATATAAATCAGTACATTCCTTGAGCCATATGGCCTGTTTGCCACAATGGGATTAAAAAATGGGGGGGGGATATCAATTAAGCATGCATTAAGAGCAAAAAAGGGGGGGGAAAGACTGGCTTTTGAAAAATAAACCTTATAAAAGGCAAATAGAAACATTGTCAGAAACAGCACAGAATACGACACCTTTGTGAAATTAAGCTACTTTCATTCTCACTTTTACAACATTTTAAAGTGCAAAAAAGCATAAGATCTTTTTTAAAAAGGCTACATCATACAAGCAAATTATAACTCCCCTCGTGCTTCAAGATAATAAACTTAAAAGGTTTTTTTTTTTTTTTGGAAAATACTGGAAAAGATGCCTACATCTATTGTGTAGCACCAAGAATCAATAACTAAAAACTCCAATAAAACCCCAATAAAAGTTAATAGTGATTTATTTTTGATTTTTCTGCCCTTTAATAGGAGACAAATACATCCCTTGCTTTAAAAAGTGAGGAAAACAGTTTATTTGCCAGACTGCCATGGGCTCCATCAATTTGGCATTGGAGTAAGAAAGAAGACATAATATGAGAGAGCAAACACACCTGCGTGAACAAGATGGGAGACAATGTATAGCAATCATAAAAGACAAGAGGCAATGCAAACAGAGATTTATGGATCTCTCACACACCTACACACTGAATTATCTTGGTCTGATGCGCTACGAAATTGGAGGAACAAGGTTGCTTCCAGGGCTGCTCCTGGACCCAAAGCTTCTCTCTGCACAGGGTTTGCCAAGGTGGGGTGCAGTGAGGAGGCAGAGATGTTGCTGCAACAGTTTGGAATTAGTCCTCTGGTGGTGGTGACACTCAATACCCAAAGGTTTCCTGTGAGGCATAGACCATGTAGAGGAAGCCATCTTCATCCTTCTCTTGCTCATAGATCTCACAGATTGGGGTAGAAACGCTCACCATGCTGTGCTGGTTCACCAATAGGAAGAAAGCCTGGGTTGGATTCAGCTGTAGCCGGCGCCTGAGGAGGTGCAGAAGGCAATTATTGAGTCTTGAGTTAAAATAGGAGCATAATGGACCATGCACAGCTAATTCTAGTCAAATAAATGAACAAGATATGGGGCACCAATACCACAAATGTCTAAAAACTAACAGGTGTTTCACTGCTATTTTATTACATGTTCTACCATCCATTTAATAAACCTGCCCTGCTAAGTTTTCTTTCTTGCTTGGTTTTTTAAAAATCTTCA